CCTGAAGGCTCTGTCCTTCCATTTGACGTCGGGGCTCTCTCCTCGGGATGTTACAGAGGATGATTCAAGTGAAAAATATTCAGTGACATAAACCTTTCTGGATGTGTTTTTCTCGGCTGTGTTCCTAGTTCTTTTGGAGACAAAAGGAATGAAATTGTTCCCCGTTCTGCAGAGTGTTCCAAGCAAAAGTGGCTATGTGAGAGGCTCATTTGAAAGGGACAGTAGAGAGAGGACATGGGGTGTGAGGACATCGGGGACTTTCTGGTTGGTGAGCAATAAACAACAGGAGCGTCAGGCCAGGAATTCTCTGACCACTCTGAACAAAGGGACACTGTTTCAAGACAAGACCTATTTGTATAGGTATGCGGATATTTAAGGGATAAGAACTATTTGTATAGGTATGTGGGTATTTAAGAGATAAGACCTATTTGTATAGGTGTGTGGGTATTTAAGAGATAAGACCTATTTGTATAGGTATGTGGGTATTTAAGGGATAAGACCTATTTGTATAGGTATGTGGGTATTTAAGGGATAAGACCTATTTGTATAGGTATGCGATTTAAGATCTTGAGACTGGATTCTGTCCTGTAGGTCACAGTGAAATGTGCTCATTTTCACAACTTGATAGTGCCTCCATCTGCTGTCTTTTCTCTTGAACCTGGGAGTGGACCAGGGATGCCCTGACCTTCACCTGTCAGACCAGGTGCTTGTGGACCAAAAAAAAAAAAAAAAAAGTTTCTACAGAAAGTAACCTCACAGGGTGATCTGATCATAAATTCCTAACTGGGTAGGTCATGATGGGTTGTCACACCCCTAGCACAGAGCTTTTTTTGTTGTAGAAGATACGGTTTTTTTCACTGATTTTAGAGGGAGAGAGAGAAACATTGACAAGAGAGAAACATCAATTGGCTGCCTCCTGCACTCCCCCTACTGAGGACCAAGCCCATAACCTGGGCATGTGCCATGACTGGGAATCAAATCAGTGACCTCTCGGTATATGGGACAACACTCAACCAGTGGAACCACACCGGCCAGGGAGCCACACCCGCCAGGGCGGCACAGAACTTCTTTAATAAAAGGCTTACCTTTGCCTTAAGCCAGCCCCGTCCACTGTTCCTGGGCACCTAGGCTAACATATCTTTGAAATGCCCCCTTTCAGGCCCCTCCTTCTAAAGCGAGACCACGTGGCCACAAGAGAGCACAGGTGAACCTCTCCGGTAATCTAATCCCACCTTGCCCTCCCCCCATGTCATCTTCTGCACCTGCCCTCCTTAACGCCAAGTGCGTAAAAGCAGCTGCAGACCGCCATCCCAGAAGCAGTTTTCTTAGTCTGTTGTGCTCTTGCTCCCAGCTGTGTCCTGTGTTTGGCTGAAATTTTATACAAATTCTTCGCCGGTGTGGATGTTTTTACGTCAGACTTGCACGTTGGGGACCCTCACCATACTGCCCACCCTCCAGGACATGCTCTCTGGTGTACAGAGGAAGGGGGTTGACCTGGGACCCTCAGCTCAGCCTCCGATGCTTTCTTTCTTTCTTTTTTTTTTTTAATCCTCACCCGAGGACATTTTTCCATTTTTTGTTCAGATAGAGTGGGGGGGGGGGGGGGGGGGGAGAGACATCTATGTGAAAGAGACACATCGAGTGGCTGCCACCCGCACGACCAACCAGGGCCGGGGACAAACTGCAACCGAGGTACATGCCCTTAGCGGGAACCGAACCCGGGTCTCTCTGGACCGCAGGCCGACGCTCTAACCGCTGAGCCAAACTGGCCAGGGCCTCTGATGCTTTCTTTCTAAACGTTTTATGTATAGAGGAGTTTTTTCTGGCATTGGAAAAACATCCCAGGAGTGAAGGAGTGGGCCTCTGGACCTGTTTGCCAGAACGCTCCTTCCTGTGCTCTTGGCTCGAGGAGTCCTGCTCCGGGGCCGTGGGTCCGCTTCTGTTCTCCGAGAAGTCTTTGGTCCCAGCACAGTTACTAGACATTGTTTCTATTTAACTTTGAAGATCCGGCGTCAGTATCAGCCTCCTTCATAGAGAAGCTCTAGCATCCGGGATGCAGCAGCTCCATGTCGGTGGGACTCAGGGAACCTCAGACGGAATCCCCGTAAACTCGGTGTATTTGTGGTCGGGAGACTCTGGGCCTCTGTCTGTTCGTCGGTATTTTGGTAGCTGTCAACCTTGGACACTCTGGCCATTTAGGTGTGGGGTCTTGTGCCAGGTGATCCTGTCTTCAGCTGTTCCGAGAGAGGGTCTCTCGCTCCGGGGCAGCGAGGCCTTGCCAGTGTTCTCCTGGGACCAGGGAATTTAATGTAATCCCCATTGCGGATAACAACTTAATGCACTAAAAGAAGATTACTTATTTTAAAAGCTCCTTTCCATTTTGTTCTCGTCCATTTGACAAATGGGCTATTATTACTCAGGGTGGCGGGGCGGCGGCTGGGCTGGACAGGATGTGGCCCAGGCGTCCTCCCTCCAGCTGGCCTCAGGGGGACAGAGATGGCATTTTGTTTGGCCGTAAGGAAATGCGGAGGCAGGTTTAGATTGTTTTAATCAGCGTTTCCAGCCCAACACCGAAGGGAGGCCAAGAAACGCAGGGTCCGCAGGACTTGGTTTTATTTAGAGTCGGGAAGCCATGGGGCTGGGAGGACCCTCCGGAGAGTCTCCATGAAGAGACATTCGGACCTGTAGGTGTCTCACTTTTAATGATTGCACTTAACTTCTTTTCTAATCCCCACCCGAGGATGTGTTTATTGGTTTTCGAGAAAGAGGAGGGGAGAGAGAGAGAAATATCAATGTGAGACAGAAACATTGATCGGTTGCCTCCCGTACACACCGAGACCAGGGACCGAACCCGCAACCTAGGTGTGCGCCCTGACTGGGAATCGAACCCGCAACCTTTTGGTGTATGGGATGGCACTCCAACTGAGCCACCCAGCCAGGGCTGCACGTGTCTCCTTGACATGACTTAAATGGTAATTGTGATCTTTGGAGGCTTATATTCCAGAATTTTAATGTCTTTTAAAATCTGTTTGGGTTTTGTTGTTTGTTTATTTGGTTTGAATCAGGTGCCTGGGCTGTCTGTGTGTCAAGGGATGAGTGGGCAGTAGGGAGGCTCCTTGTAGAACTAGATCAAAAGAAACCACCTTTCTTGCTTGAGTCAGGACACTAACAACGTTGCCCGTTTTCCTGGTCAAGTTCTAATTAGCTTAGTAGAGAACAAAGAAATCACAGAAGCAAAATGGTTTACTGTCGTTTTTTTTTTTGGACGTTCCGCAGAAAAAGAGTTGTGGGCCGCAGAGTCGAGGGACAGCGGATGCGTCCTGTTGTTTGCGTGTGTAACTCAACTGGCTTCAAACTGTTCCTCCAGAAAAGACGGTCTGTAGGGCGTTGATTTTTAAAAGGAATAGACGACATTCCTTGTACAAACATTTTCTTGTTCCAACCTCTCGTGAACTTTGGAGACGCAATAGCGCGATGTAGATACTGTAACTAACCTCCGTGAATGAGCCTCCCGGGCGAGAGCAACCTTACGAGGATGACGAAGATGGGGCAGAGGACAGGGGAGCGGCTCTTCCAGATCTGTGCCGGGGAGCTCGTCATGGTGGCCGTCGGAAGTTGGCCCCTTGCTTCGGGGCCCGGTGTGCAGGTCCGTTTTTGCTGGAAGGGGCAGGCGGGCTCGAAGTGGACAGGCGCTGGACGTGGGGAGGAAGGAGCCAGGGACAAAGCAAGGACGGGGGGGACGTTCCAGCCTGAACTTTGTGAACTAGCAGGCCCCAACAAAGGAAATATTTTGATCGTCTTTCTACTTGGTATTTTAGATTCTGATAAAGCCATCGGAGAATTAAAATGTTTTCTCTTCCTTCCCAAATGGCACCGTCCAGTTTGGGGTCAGCAGTTCCCCTGGGAATGTGGGGGAGTCCAACCTGTCCTGTCTCGCTCGCTCTCAGCCTCCCAACGACCCGGCTTTGGCTAGACTGGTCACCTGTTAGCCCCCCTCCCCCCTCCCCCACTGCTGCTCCTTCCAGTGTGGACACCTACCTCTGGCCGGGAAATTGTCCTACCCTGGGCTTGCTTGGAGTCTGCTGGGAGGGTGGCCCGCCTCTCATTCTAGAAGATCACTTCTATAGAGGGGTTCTGTGCAGAAACTGGGTATTTCTCTGTGTGGTAACAGTGGTCACAGTCATCCCTCTAAAATGCTTTGTGGTTTATCTCAGGAATATGGCCTGGTTTATTCCCAGTGAAATTCCTTGTCTTCTCAAAGGAGCTCATTTGATAATTCTATTTTTAAGGCTGCATAATTTCGTAACTGTTTAAAATTTCATATGTTCTTTGAATTATTCCCACATCTATGAAAACCACGATAGGTTAAAATTTATTTAGCCCTGGTTGGTGTAGCTCAGTTGGTTGGAGCATCGTCCTATACACCAAAAGGTAATGGGTTCGATTCCCAGTCAGGGCACAGACCCAGGTGATGGTTCTATCCTCAGTTAGGCTGTTTCTCTCTCCCTGTCCCTTCCCTCTCTCTAAAATCAATAAAAACATATTCTCGGGTGAGGATTAAAAAAAATTATTTAGATAAAAATAATTTATTGTGTCCTGCATACTTTTTTGTATTTTTTACTTGTAACATCTATCCCATTTTTTCTTAAGGCTCATTTTTTAGTGAGAGACGATGGTTAATGATTTTCACTCCTGTGACGGGGAACGTCTGGGGAATTTGAAATCAGCGGGTGTGGAGAAATAGAACAAAGCAGTATTTAAAGAAAAACATCTTTGTGTGGAGAGGGCGTAACAACTAGATTTGGGCAAGAAAGAGTTTAGCTCCTAGAAATCCGTCGGGAAGAAGGGATTTGAAATATTTTTCCAGTTTTCAGACTACTACATAATAGAAAAAATGTGAAGGTGGGTATTTTTCCAAGTTTGAAACTCTGAATTCTTCTCCTTGTTGATCTCTCCCTCTCTTATAAATTTCCATTAAAGTCACCTTGTCCCCCCTGCAGGTGGTGACTTCTCACGTGGTGGGCAAGGCCATCCAGTTCCTGGTGAGCACAGGGCCCGCCTCACCTGAGGACGCGGGGCGCCAGCAGTACAGCGTGCGGCTCGCCCCACTTCATTTACAGGTGAGGTCGGTGGGTTGTGTCGGGGAAATAGTTCTCATAACCCTGTAAGACGAGTGTCACGGGGCCATGAATACCCAGGCTTTTATTAGTTGCCATTCATTTAATAATTTCCCAACTGTAACCTTCCATATTGTATCTGTGGGAAGTTTAAAGTGCACATGATATGCATAGTATATATACACACACACACATATAATGCATACATGTATATGCACGTGTGTATACATACATATACACACACACATGTATATATGTAATGAATTTAGAGGTTGCCCATCTATCACAGATGAGAGAGATGGTACTTCTTAGAGACTTGACCGGGGGTGTTGCCAATGGGGGAGCCAGGTAACGGCAGGTGAGGTGAGGTGAGTGGGTTTATCTCCGAATCAGCGCTGGATTTCGGAAGTCGACCACAGCCTGGAAAGAACGCCGGGCTGGTGCCGTCCTCTTTTTAGTTTCTGAGAAAGTCAGCTTTAAAGGACCTCTTATTATTTTTATAAGCTAAAGAATGAGTATTACCATTATTTTTCAGATAATAGACATTATTATAATAATTATAATAGACATATGTAACAATTTTATAATGTATACACAATGCTGTATAAATATTCATAATTATAGGTAACAGTTACATAGGGAAACCTAGATGGTAATTATAACAGACCGAGTGAAACTTCTGGCGGGCTGAACCGCCACACAGCGTCCGGCGTTAAGCAGTTCACCCGGGCCCCTGCTTAGCAGTGTGAGAACGTGGTAAATTTCTGGGTCTGTTTCAGGGACACTGCCCACTCAACCCCGTGTTTCCCCTGCTGTCCTTGTGGTTGGCTGCTCATTTTGGGGGGCTTCTCAACAAGAGAAGATGATGCTCCATACACTTTTCTGACGAAGACATAGTTTTAAATCAGCAGGGGGAACAAGATTTTCTGGCCAACGAAATGGCTTTGTTTCTGAAATCTAGCCTCCCCCATATCACCCCCTTTCCAAGTTGAAGAGATTAAGTGATAACTTCACAAACTTGTCAGATGTCAATGCCTCGTGTGTCCCCCAATGTTTTGGACAATGTGACTAAGGAAAAACTTCAAAGTGTGGGACCTGTTTCAGGGCTGAGTCGGGCAAGGACCTCACACACGGAGCAAATGTAGCATCTGAGGTGGACACTATGTGTCTGTCATTTGAGCAGCTCAAACACAGTAACACAATGGTATCTTTGATCTCTTAGCACAGTTTCAACGCGGCCTATGGATTAGGCTGCAAGCAGAAGAGATCGGTCAATTATTCATGCTGAAGGCAGCAGGCCGGCCACTTCTCCCTTGTTCTTCAGACAAAAGGCATCGAGGGGCCAGCAGTGGGGCTTGCTGCCACCCCCTCCCCACCCGGTGGGGCGGACGCGGGACCTGTGTCAGTGAAATTAAAGTGCGCTTGTTCTAGTCTCACAAGGGAAGGCTTCGTTTCTCTAACCCTCTTGCTAGCACGAGGTCAGAGTCCTGAGCCTTCAGAATTACATCCTTCTTTCTGTTTGTTTCGGTGGCAGGGAGGAGGATGGAGATGTGATGGCTGAAAAAATGAAGGCTGGTGTATTATTTTGTTAAGGCTGCAGAATGTCCACAAACTTAGCTTAAAACAGCCCAAGTGTATTCTGTTACCGTCTTGGGGGTCTGACGTCCATCCAACAGGCGGAAGTCCAGGTGTTGGCAGGCTGCCTTCCTTTTCTGGAAGTTCCGGGGAGAATCTGTCTCCTGCTCATTCGGGTTGTTGGCAGAACTCAGCTCCTCACCGGGGCAGGACTGAGGGCCGGCCCCCTGCTGGCCAGCAGCGGTGGGCGGTTCCCAGCTTCTAGGGGCAGCCTCATCCCGGGCTCCTGGCTCGAGGCACATGTGTGGCATGCTTTCTGCCTTCCTCTTCCGTTTTTATGGCTCCACTGGGCTCTCCAGGACAACACAGGGTCACCTCCCCATCTCATGGCTCTTAACCCAAGTCACACCTGCGGAGTCCCTTTTGTCATGGAAGGTCACATGTTCACAGGTTCCAAGGAGTGGGGCCAATTTTCTGCCACAACGGATGGAGAGGATGGAATAGGACATTGTGAGGGATCAGAATCCAGTTACAGGTGGAGTGGTGGCCCAGGCAAGGGGGACCAGGATGCCAGTGTGCACAGCCCTCGGGGAGCCTGTGGGCATGGGCTTGGCTCAGGCATCCTGCTTCCCAGCTCTCACTCCTCCTTTACATCTGGGGGACGCTGCCACAAGAGCAGTGCAGAGTGCAGAGAACTAACGTAGACTGCAGTTTCAATGACATCTGGCCTTCAGCCACCAGCCCTGAGGCTCCTTTCTCGGCGGCCGGTGGAGGCAGAGGTGCTGGTGGGGGAGGGCGAAGGGAGTGTGGGACCCTCTTCTCCATTTTGAAAGTGCACAGTACGGCACGGGGAGGCTAAGCAGTTAGTTCACGAAAACAGTGAACACACACACACACACACACACACACACGGAGCCTCGGGGGGGACAGTAGCCCTCCAGTAACCACTGTTGGTTTGTTTGTTTTTGAAGCTGGAGCTCTGCATGAAGGAGAAGAGAGAGGATATTCAGGTCCGGTGGGCGTTCGTCAACGTGCCAGAAATGGCCATCACCGTCCAGCCCAGAGCCCCGGGGAAGGTCAGTCCATGCTCCTTTACGATGCCTCCATCCCCGTTGGGAACGTGTGCGCGTTGTGATGGGTTTAATGCCCACTCTCACCTGGGCTCTTGGGCTGCCTCTGGAATCACCTGGCAGCCTGCCTGCCACCCCCATGCAGGCGTTCCTGGGCTGGGAACTTATTAAGCACGTGTGTGCGGCTGAGGTTGCAAACTGTTGACGTAATGAAACCTCAGTTTCCCTGGGCGTTCTAGCACACGTGGTCGTCAGATCCGCGCTCCTGCCTTACAGCGGCTTCCTTGCAGCTTGGGCTGAGCCCAGCTGACTCCGGGATCACGACCTCCTTCCTCCCCGTGGTTTTTGCAAAGATGCACCGCAAATCCGGGGGCGGCGTCCTCCCTGCTCCCCATGGCCTTAGCGGTTCGGAGATGTGAATTCCGGAGTGGGAGTGGGTGTGCTGGTCACGTTGGTGGTGCCATTTCCAGTTGCCGAAACGATCGGGTGAAGTCATCCGCACCAAAGGCTTCGGTGTTCGGGTTCTTCCCTTGCAGCGGCTTCTCCGGACGTCCCTGCGATTTCACCCATTTCTGACTCGTGTTCAACTACTGAGATGTCACCGCAGCCGAAATATGTGAAGTTCATAGTTTGCCTGTGAATACTCAACCGTTCATGCCTTAATCTACATGTGGACAGTTTTTTGTGTGTTTGTTAATATTGACAAGCTTGAATCGTAATTCTTTCAGCTTGCAGCCATCAGAAGTGTCCTTTTCTCCTGGCTGTGTAGTTGTAGAAGGGGTGTGTATTCGGTATTCCCATCATTGCCAATTCCTTTCCTTTTTCTCCTTCTTTTCGTATTTGTATCTCCTTCCTCCCACGTGGCACTGTTGTCCTGTAACTTGCTACCCTGGCACCACTGCTGACCTCAAACCTGCCAAGGTCAGGACACTCTGCTGGCCTTGGTCTCAGAGGGCATCCTGCTGAGGGGTTCGAAGTTCATGTCCAAAATGGTCCTGGCCAGTTTGGCTCAGCGGTTAGAGCGTCGGCCTGCGGACCAGAGAGGCCCGGGTTCGGTTCCCGCTAAGGGCACGTACTTTGGTTGCACTTTGTCCCCGGCCCTGGTTGGGGTTGGGTGGGTGGCAACCACTCGATGTGTCTCTCTCACATCGATGTTTCTTTCTCTTTTTTCCTCCCTCTCTCCCTCAAGATAAATGCACAAAAGGAAAATATCCTTGGGTGAGGATTGAAAAAAAAAAAAAAAGAGCAAAATGACTTGATTTTCTTCTCTCGGTGTGGTTTTCACACCCATTCGATGTAAGAGAACTGCTTTCGTGTTTGTTCGTACGCAGTGTTCGGGTTTGTCCCCCATCTCTGTTGATTTACATCTATTTTAACATGTAAAATATTACCATGGTTTAAAAGTCAAAAGGACACAAAACATCACACTCAGAAGTCTGCTCCCCATTCCTCTCCCTTCGACCCCCATTTTCCCCCTGCATGCAAGAATGCGTTTCAGTAGTTTTTATCTTTTCTGCGTTTCTTTGTGCAAAAATGGTCTTATCCCTCCTGTCTTACCCAGCTGGTGGGCACTGTATGTGCTTTCCACACCCTGCCTGCACTCCCCCACCCACGCCTTCAGACACCACGTGCTGCTCATGTTCGTGAGGGGCAGGTCGTCCCCCCGAAGCGGTTGTGTCGAGCCTGCCAGCTCCCTGCAGCAGGGTCCTGCTGGGCCCTCGGGACAAGACGGCGTGTGGGCAGGGCAGTCGCGTGGAAGGAGGGTTCCCGGGTCCGCTGCTCTGGGGATCTTAGGTGTGACGGACTCTCATCTTTCACCCTTGGTGTCCTGCTCTGTGAAGTGAGCAGTTGTAGGGGCTAAAAGAGATAAAAGTAGACAAGCGGAATGAGGCCCATCCTTGTGACGGAATGTCATTCGGGCGTAAAAGAGAATGGGGCTGCGGTGCTGCTGGGACTTGCAGGGCCCCGCAAACATCATGCCCGGCGGCAGAAGCCAGACGCACGAGGCCACTGCTGCGTGAGTCCACGTGAGCGCGGTGCCAGCACAGGCGCTCCTGAGTGCCCAGCACCCCGCTCTGCGCAGAGCTGGGGCTCCGCAGAGACCCTCTGTCCCTTCCGTTCACTACCCCCGGCTCCTGCCTCCCACCTGCAGGAGTTATCTGCGCTTGTAACTAATTTCCACAAACCGAGAGACAGGGCAGAGCGTGGTTGCCGGGGCCTGTTGGGGGAGGGGGGAGGAGAAGGGGCTGCCAGTGGGTAAGGAGTTTGCTCGGGGGGGGTGATGAAAATATTTTGGAACTGGATAGAGGTGATGGTTGTACAACACTTTGTACTAAATACCGCTAAAATGCATAAAATGATTCATGTTATGTCATGTGAATATCACCTCGAAACCATAAGATGTCAGGGACTTGCCGGAGAGAAAGGTGATGGCAGAATGGTTACTAGCGCAGACCCTGGGGCCTTAACTGGCTGGGTCTGACTCCGGGCTCTGCCACTTCTGAGCTGTGTGACGCTATACATGTTAATCCGCTTCTCTGTGCCTCAGTTTCCTCGTCTGTAAAGTATGGACAGTGATGTTGAAGGCTACTATGAGGATTAAATTAGTACAGATAAGTGTGTAAAATCAAGGCTGACACGTCCTAAAGTGATGAACGTATTAGCTATTCTGATTATTTTTAGATTACAGAGTAGATCTAAATTTCAATAAATGGTAGACTTGGCCTGAGTTTGTTGTAACAAGGCCTGGCCGGCCAGTTGTCCTTTGGACACTACAGACCAATTTCTGAAATCGCTTCCAGCCCCCCACGTTGGGAGGTTTCATCTGTCATCCTGGAGGGGACTCAGTTTTGTAAGTGTCCGGTGCCCCTGAGGGGGTGGGCTGGAGCCCCACAGTGAAGGCATTCACAGCAGCGGGGACAAGGGGCAGCAGGGAGCCCTGGCGTTGGCAGTGGCAGAGCCAGAACGGGGGCCAGGACCCCACACGCTGGTGAGCTCCCTGCGCGGCAGCTGCTCCCCGAAGCCAGAGTTCGACACGTTCTGTTAGCAAGGATCCAACCCGAGCCAGGTTTTGAAGAGTCCAAAACAAAATCTTTCGTCTTTAAACAAGGCTTCTAATTGAGGATTTTAAAAACAGATACTGCGCCCTGGCCCATTTGGCTCAGCGGTTAGAGCGTCAGCCTGCGGTCCGGAGAGACCCGGGTTCGGTTCCCGCTAAGGGCACGTACTTCGGTTGCAGTTTGTCCCCGGCCCTGGTTGGTCGTGCAGGTGGCAGCCACTCGATGTGTCCCTTTCACATCGATGTTTCTCTTCCTCTCTCTCCCTCCCACTCTATCTGTACAAAAAATGGAAAAATGTCCTCGAGTGAGGATTAAAAAAACAACAACAACAAAAAAAACAGATCCTGCTTGCGTAAGCATTGTTATTGACACAGGAAAGTGCACGCGTCGTACACGTCCAGCCGGTTGCGGCTTTCACACACCAGGCGCTCCTGAGTGCCCAGCACCCCGCTCTGCGCAGAGCAGGGGCTCCGCAGAGACCCTCTGTCCCTTCCGTTCACTGCCCCCGGCTCCTGACTCCCACCTGCAGGAGTTATCTGTGCTTGTAACTAGTTACCACAAACCTAAGAGAACACGCATACACGTCATCGTTTTTGTCCGTCCTTCTGGGCTGGGTCTTCTGCTCAGGGTCTTATAGGCTGGAACCAAGGTCTCGGCCAAACTGCATCTTCCTGGAGCTCAGGATGCTCGTCCAGCCTCATGCGGTTGTTGGCAAAACTCGTTTCCTTGCAGGTGTAGGACTGAGTCCCAATTTCCTTGGCTCCTGGCTGTTGCAAAGTCCCCGCCCCGTGACCCTTCAGACATGGAAGCTGACTTATTCAAGGCCGGCAGAACTCTCCTCTCCAGTTTGCTAAGAGAAAGTCTTGTATAACATAACTGTTGACATTGCATCGCTTTTGCTGCATCCATTGACTGAAGGCAAGTCTCAGGTCCCACCTGCACTCCAGGTGAGGGCAGGACTCCCTGGGGTTACCTTAGAGCCCTGCCTACCACTAACAGCATGACGAGTTTGGCCTGTTTGGGCACTTTATATACAGAATGGGATTTTCTGTTCGGCTCCTTGCAGTCAGCATCATGTCCGTGAGATTCGTCCGTGTCACGTGTGTGACTGCGTATGGTTTGTGCTTGTTGTCCTGTAGCATCCCATTGTGTGGCTGCCCACAATTTATGGATCCGTCTAGCTGCTGATGGACATTTAGGTAGTTTCCAGTTCGGGGCTATTGTGAGTCGTGGTGCTATGAACATTCTAGAATGAATGGACATAGTTCTGTTGGGTCTTGATTATTGCAGCTTTATAGATCTTGACATCTGCCTATGTAAGTTGTCCAGCTTTGTTGTTCTTCCTAAAGCTTGTTTTCATTCTTATCCAGCCTTCCCATTTGTTTGAATACTTTTTAATTAAAAAAATATATATATCAAATGTTATGTGAGAAAGAAAAACCACATGTCTGCATGTTTGGGGGAAAATGACTGAGAAGGGTATACACAGAAATACTGGCATTTCTACAGTGCGCATGGCTTATTTCTTGACCATTTAAAAAAGTAAGATCAATTACTTCCAAGATCAGTAAAAGGGACCCTCTCTCCCAGATATCTCCTGGGTCCTAAGCTGACCTCCTGGAGCCCCGGCAACGCCAGGATTGTTCATCTCGGGGCCGCGCGAGGAGGGCCAAGGCTCGCCGGTCCTTTTGCACACGTACATGCTTATACAGGGATTTGGTGGCTTCCTCCTCTGTTGGCAGGACCAGGCCGTTGAGGTGAATGCAATATGTGAAACTCTGAAGGATATTTTGAAGTACCTGGTCAGTTCCGCCTCCCCATCGGTGATTCTGAGCACCAAGCCTGTGGACGTGCGGGAAGTCCAGGTAAGGCTGTTCACGGGGCGTGGGCTCTTCAAGGCCCCGGGAGGGGTCGTGGCCCAGCTCCTGGACCATCTGCGTGCATTTCCGATGTTCCTCCATCCTGCGGGTGGAGTGGCATTGCACCTGTGTTTTCTGGTCAGTAATGGCCGTGCTCTGGGGAAGCGTCAGGGCACAGGGTTCCAAAGCCCTGGGGGATGGGAGGAAGAGGGCACTCAGCATAGTCTGACCCTAATGAGGTTTGACCCTCCACCTTCTAGAAGCCCAAACTTTTCACTGTCCACTCAGAGCCTCTGGTCTTGGATGTCATCCCTCCAGGACTGAGGTACCTGGGGAAACCAGTTAGCAATGAGAACGTGCCCCTGCATTGGGCAGAGGAAGGTGCACTAGAGAGACGCTCTGTCTGGCCCAGGCTGTGGACAGCCGGACGACCTGCAGCCTGGGAAGTCATCGCACCCTCTGAAGCACCTGGCCTGGATCAGGTGTGGACTGGCATGTCTGCCCCAGTCTCCACCCACAGAACGATTCCGAGGGGCCCTCTCTAGCTGGATGCATGGCTGCCTTTGGGATACAGAAGTCTCCCGAGCAGAAGCGGTTTTGGTTGATGGTACCTGGCCTTCCCACAAGAGGGGAGACTGTCACAGAGCAGACTCTGGTTCAGGTTCCAGCGGCTGCCTCTGTTCTCTGCTCCCCACGGTCACTGCTCCTCCTCTTCCTGCAGAATCTCCAGTGCACTTCACCTGCCCCTCAGGAACCCTGCCCTCCCAAACCTCCAAGGGCTCATGATCTCAAATTACTGGTGAAGAACATCCGAGCCTCGCTGCTAAGTGACCCTGGTGCTTCAGGTGGGTGACTGGTGCAGGAGCTCCGGGTGACGGCAGGCAGACTAGTGACCGTCCCACAGCATGAGCTGCGTGGAGGGGTGACCTGTGGGTCCTTGGTGGCTCCCTCCAGTCGGATCTGCAGTGCGTCCTGCCTTGGGTGGAGAAGATGCCCTACAAACCATAGTAATAGTGCGAGTCCATTGGAATGACTGTGCCTACAGCCAGAACTGAGGGATGAGCAGGCCCTTGGGGGCAGTCCAGGGCTCTGCATATCAGGTGGGGGAGTCAGGCTTTAACCCCAAGTGAAGTGGGGTGCTTTGAGAGTTTGGAAATGGCATCTGAAAGAAAGCGGGTGAGCCAAGACCTTAGGCATGTTATGCAGCCTTCTCTGACATGTGGAAGTGCCTTGAAGCAATTAAAACAGGAAAATAAAAGGTGTCGCTGTGTTTGCTTCCAGGCCACGCCCACCTCCAGTGTGCAGTTCAGCTGAACAGCCCCCTCCAGAGGCTCTGCAGCGCCCTCCCCGAAAACACTGCCGACCTCACCTGGGAAGAAGAGTTCACCTTGTGCGTGCAGCTCCGTTTCCATGGGCCCTGGTTTCCATGGTGACACCTACTCAAGACTGCCAACCCCCGAGATCATTTCATAGTGCCAAAAAAAATTTTTTTTTTTAAATTTTTAAAAAGTGTATTAAACATCTGAGGTAGCTTGAAGTCGAACGTAGATTTCTTTTTGAAGGCAGCTCTATATATGCCTAAAAGATATTCAGTGACATTTAATAACCATTCCCAGTGCTAAAAATCTGTATTAGAACAAGGTGTATGGACACTTCTTCAAAAAGGTTTTTTTAAAAATCACTGAAAGTGATAAATACGAGAAGCAGTTCCACTAAAGTCAAGAGAAGGAGACCCACTGTGTGTGCTAGAAGCACTGGCTAGTGTAATTAGATAAGATAAAGAAATGCTACAAAGCCCGGCAAGGAAGAGGCAAAGCTAATCATTACCTGCAGATGACACTACTGCATGACATGACGACTCAGGAAGAGCAATTGAACCCATTAGAAGTAATAATGGACATGGCATAGAAATCACAATATTCTAAAAACTTTTTGTACTTATTTATTGTTTAAACCCTGGCCGGTTTGGCTCAGCGGTTAGAGCGTCGGCCTGCGGACCAGAGAGTTCTGGGTTTGGTTCCCGCTAGGGGCACGTACCAAAAAAAAAAAAAAAGACTAATATAAATACTATTTCAGAAAAGTGGCTGACTACGAAAATGTAGAAATCAACCACTCTCTGATGCTTCAACAGTAAATAAGTACAAAAGGTAATGGAAAAACATGCCCCGCGTATCATAGAAAGAGCTCTTATAAATCATTAATGAGAATATAGCACTCTTAGAAAAATGGGTAAAATTTTCAAACTAGAAATACAGAAGCAAGAACTATAGATAGATAGAAACTTCTGAAAAGATGTTTAATCTCAGAAATAGTGAGAGTAATGCAAAGTTAAACAAAAGAGGTTGTTTTTTACCTTACAGAGCGCTAAAGAATAAGAGTGAGAATGGCCAGGGGAGTGTGCATTGGAACAGCCATACTGGAGGTCATCAATATGTACAAACTAAAGAAAATCTCTTAAATGCGTGTACCTGTTAACTGGCAACTAGAGTTTTCCTAAGGAAGCAATCACACATCCCTGCAGAGATACATGTATGGGGGTGTTCAGCTCAGCTGGGCTATAATTAGGAAATATGAAAACAACCAACTTATTACTAAGGGTTGGTTATTAATACATTGGCTAAGTAAAATCTCATAAGGCCAAATAATGGAATAGACACCTATTTAAAATGTTGCTCTGTAGTTATTGACATAGGAAGGTGTCCATGATACCTTAAGCGAAAAAAATAGGTTACGAAGAAGGGAAGAGGTATATTGTGTTCTATACTTTTGTTTTAGACAATGATGTTGCTACCCTTTCGGTGCAGTAACTCATAGCCATATGCCTACTGGCCACATTTCAAGTTTTCAAAAGCCACATGTGGCCAGTGGCCACCATATTTGAAAGCACCTGTATGGAGCGTGTCCATCGGCCTCCGAAAGCTCTGTTGGATAATTCTAGGAGACTAGGCACCCAATATGCAGAGTCACCGTTTCTGGATAGTGAGGTTGCAGGTAATCTTTATATTTTTAGTTATATGCCTTGCAGTTTTTAAAATATTGATGAGGACAGTTCCTTTCTATAATCAGAAAAAAATATTATTTAAAAAATAATCAGGGCTCACAGCTCTTCTTTCTTTGCACAGTGAGTTGAACGCCAAGTCGAAGGAGTTGCACCTGCAGATTTCAGAGGACGGGCAGCCCTCAGAAGGTAGGTGGTGAGCGGCGGACGGAGGCCCTGCTCTCGGGAGGGTGATCCCGTGCCCTGACCAGGGCTGCGGGAAGCTGGGGAGGGTGGGAGACCCCGAGCAGGCCTGCCCCTCCCCCAAACCACCTGGGTCTTCCCAAGGGAATGTTTAGTGGAAAGTCCAGGTCAGTTATTAACAAGGTCGTGCATTTTGGGAAAGAGCATATATTGAACTAGTTTTGTTTTTGTTTTTAACAACTGCCCAGAATGTTTTATTTAACAAGTCTTGTCTTAGAGAAGCAGTTCTCAATCCTCTTAACCTCCATAGACCTTTTTTTTAAAAAAAAATTTAATTATGATGAAATACATGTAACAAAATGTATCACCTTAACCACACCATAGCCTACAGTGGCATGAAGTGCATTCGCTCTGTTATACAGTCATCACTGCCTCCGTCTCCAGAAGGCTTTTCCTCTTGCAAATCTGAAACTCAGGCCCCATTAAACACCACTCCCTCCCCCTTCCCAGCCCCCGCCACCCTGCTTTCTGTCTCTGTGGATTTCAGCAGGCTTTTCCTTGTACAATGAGCCACACCAGCTCACGTGGAACACATGCTTTTGATACAAGAAAGTAACAATTAGAGGGAAAAAAAAATCACTAAAGTGAGTGTGGACCGTAGGTGTGCCTGTGTAAAGATCAGTAGTTTCCATATTTATTAGATTTTATGTATTTGTTTATTTTTGGTTAAGCCTTACCTGAAGATATTTTTCCATTGAGTTTTAGATGGAGTGAAAGGAGGAGAAAGGGGTAGAAAGAGAGAGAGAAACATCGTTATGAGAGAGACACATCAATTAGTTGCCTCCTGCACGACCCCAACCAGGGCCAGGGCTCAAACCTGCAACCCAGGTATGTGCCCTTGACCAGGAATCGAACTCTTGACCGTTCAGTGCATGGGCTGACACTCCAAACACTGAGCCACCAGCCAGGGCCCTTATGTGTATTTCTTACAAATAGGGATGCTCTTACATGTCCATAGTGCGGTTATGAGCTTCCTGAGTTGATGCTGATACAGTTCTTTAATCCACCAACCATATTCCTGTCTTGGTCCGTTACCACTGCTCATCTTTAGAACAGCTGCTTCCCCTGCGGCTCAGGTGCAGACGTGGCCTGGAATCACCTCTCTTAGCCTCCTTTCTCTTTTGACCGTAACATTTGTCAAATGTTTTGAAGTGATGGGGACGTGGCAGGAGCCGACTGTTCTGTCCTGGGAACACGCCCTCACTGGGTGTGTCCTGTCTTTTTCAGCTCTGCTGGCGGTGACAACTGTCCCTTTAGATTTGTTTAAGAAGCAGCCTTCCGGGCCACAGAGCTTCGTGCTGACCAGCGGGCCCTCGGCAGGCAGCTCCGTGCTGGGTTCCGTCACCGCGGAGGTATGTGACCCAGTGGCCACCCCAGATGAGGAGCACCCTCAGTTTTGTCCGGCAGAGCCTTGCTCTGGCTTGAACACGAAACAAAGTCGTCTGGGAAGAGCTGTGCACTTCCAGGCTTCCCCGGGACCCTTCCTGCCCACCGCCTGGCCGGTTGAAATAACGCCGAGGCCGTTTCACGGGGCCTGACCCAGGGAGGGCTGCTCTTTTGTTCGTTTGTCCCCATGTACGCGCTGCCTGGCTGGCTTTGAGCCTGGGGCTCGTCATCCTCTGTCAGTTCAGGGGAGCTCTGGGTGCGCTCAGGTACTGACTGCAGATCATCCTGGCCCGCATCGAGGGAGCCGGGGTGCAGAGAGGGTCAGCGTCCTGCGGTGGGTGGGCTTCGCTCTGACCCTGCAACCCGCGCCCGGCCTTCCCGCAGTTCTGCTACGTGGAGCCCGCAGAAGCGAAGTCCTGGCCCGGCCCTCTGCCCGTCCCCGCTGCCAAGATAGAGAAAGACCGCACGGTGATGCCGTGTGGGACCGTGGTCACTACTGTCACTGCTGTGAAAACCAAGCCTCGCTTCGACACGGGGAGGGCGACCCCGCCGAGCTCGGGTGAGAACGCCCCGTCTCCCTAGGCAGGCAGGGCCCCGGCACCGTGTTGTGAAGAAAGCCCTGTGGCCCAGGGAGCGTGCGCACTGGCAAGACTTTTGTGTAGCTCTTTTGTTAAGAAAATTATCTTCCTGCTTTGTCAAGTAAATGACAAGCAAGGTTCAGCCTTGTAGTATATCCTGAAGCTAAAATTCAGATATTGGGTCAGATGGCTAGTTACATTAAGACCCCATCACGTGTACGTGGGGACACCACGCTCTCTTGGAACATTGGGCGTACGAGGTCAGTGTGGAGTCCGTACGTTAACAGTCGTGGATGAGAAGGCTCGATAATTGCGGTCATTTGACATGCAGTGGAATTCTGTACCTGTCCCCACAGCTGCCACTTCTGAGACACCTCTGTGTGCTTCTATGTCTTATTATTACTTTTTAATTTATACGTTGTTTCTGCTAATGCAGACGTGTTATCTTCCCAGAACAGACTGCTTGGCACCGCTCCTTTTTTAAAAAATTTTTTTTGTTAATCCTCCCCTGAGGATATTTTTCCATTTATTTATTTTTTTATCTAGAGGGAGGGGCAGAGAGAGAGAGAGAGAGAGAGAGACATCCATGTGAGACAGACACATCGATTGGTTGCATCCCAGGGCCAGGGGGTCAAACCTGCAGCCCAGGTGTGCGCCCTTGACTGGGAATCGAATCCGAGACCCTTTGGTCCGGAAGCCAACGCTCTGACTGCTGAGCCAAACCGGCCAGGGCTTGGCACAGTTCTTGAATGCAAAATAGAATGTGAAATCCTTCCTTCATTAAAACATTTCTGAAATTTTATTTAAACCCGAGCTTCCAATACCCCTTTTTGGCAACCCCACCCCACCCCAAAGAAAAGAATAAGGGAGACGATTAAAAAGTCCTGCGTTCTGGTCTTTTTAAATGACATGAGACAGAGTTGAGGTGAGGTGTGGTCTCACTTCCCAGTAACTTCATTCAGAAGGCCGTTGTAACCAGGATCTGTCCCTGGCAGAGTCTCCCCTGCGGACGCCCGTCAAGGTGAGGGTGATCGAGAAGGACATTTCCGTCCAAGCCATCCCCTGCCACAGTGCGCCCGTCAGCAAGACGCTGTCTTCTTCCGACACAGGTAACGGACAGCCCGCCCCTGTGCTCCCTCCGCGCCTCGCCGCGCTGAGCGTCCCTTTGCGGGGTGTGGGAGTGTTTTTGAGTAGTAAGTAAAGAACTGGAAAGAGAGGGAAATCCGAGTTGACTGAAGACCAGGAGCCATGTTAGCACCCTGCTGCAGTTAAGGGGATGCTGCAACAAAGTAACCGTGAAAGCCGGCTTCTGCCTCACTTTATACAATTTCCCAACATTCTTTTTTCTCTTGTTTGACATACCAGTTACATGAATATCAGAAAGTAAGTAGGACTCTGGTGACATGATCATAAAGCCAAGTTAATTTTTGTCTCCAACTGTTCCATGAAATGTGGTAGGTCAGAGTAGTTTCCCTCAAAATTCTAGGTGCCACTTTCCCATTTTTATGATCACTTTTAGATAATAAATGTCTTTGAAGAGATGTGTACTGTCTCTTTAAGTCACAGCACAACCTGAATGTGGGAATTAGATTCCCACCTTGGCTCGTAGGACCTGCTGGTAGAGAAGGGGCAGGTGGGCAGCTTTTCCCTGAGTCTGTTTCTGATCCTGCCAAGGTCAAGGATGGGGCAAGGAGGAGCAGATGGAGTTCGGGGTCGCAGGGAGGGCAGTTCTCATTTGACAGGTGCTGCCTTAAGATGTTTGTTTCCTCTCAGCCTGGTGGAAGTTGCGACGGTCTCTGTCCCTGTGGGAATTTTCATGATTCTTGGGACGCAGCCCTGCAGGGTCCCCCAACTGCAGCTCCCCGGACACAGGCAGGGCTGCTCCTTTGGCTGCCTGCTCCCGAGGGCTCTTTCTCAGCTCTGCTCCTGGCAGTACACCCCACTGCTTCATCCTGCAGGGCCCCTTCACCTGGCAGGACCCCCTTTTCAAAGACCGGGGGCTGACGTTCCCGCCGGGGGCTCCTCACCGGGTCCGCAGGCAGTGGAGCCAGCCCCTGGCGACAGCTCGCAGGCACAGCCGGGGCCAGAGCAGCCTTCTCAGGTACACCTGCCACCTTGCAGGCTTTCCCAGGATGGCACAGAGGCCTGGGCTTGGCGTGCGGAGGTGGCACTCCACACCTGTGCCTGGGAGTCCCTGGCAATCACGGCACAGCTGTCTCCTAAGGTGACGCTTCTTTTCTCGCCACGGGTCAGGGCCAAGCAGTTTTGGGCTGTATTCATCCTGTCACCACACCCTCTGGCAGTGTAGCAGCTGTCGTCTCCAAAGCCACAGCCAGAACGGAGATGAGCAAGGTCCTTGCATCCTGCTCCAGTGATACTTGCCTGTCTCATCTTTCTGGAGCAGAGCAGTGTGAGTTCTCAGTGTCGGCTCTGAGTTCGAGACCTGGCTGGGCGTCTCGGCTCTGCCGCCGACCTGGCTGCCTGCCGGTTCCCCATTTCCCAAGTGAGGATTTAGGGAGGACCTACCTCAGGCTTTGGGGGACTGTCGAAGGAATGCGCTTGTGCATGTTGAGCCCCCCCGATGTTGGCCCTGTGTGGTATTGACGTGGGAAGGGAGCTGCTTTATGCACCAGCCCCTCATAGCCTGAACACCTGCGGGTGGTCCGCCAGTCTTGCCAGGGAGGGGGAGTGACCGCGCTGCCCTTCAAAGGCCCCAGTCCCCCAGGAGGTTAGAAGTCTTTGGGTACTGCCCTTGTTCTTCATCACCTTGATCGAGGAAGAAGCCACACACCAAATGCACTCGTGTTCACGTCAGAGACTCAGAGACTCAGCTGCACACTGAGGATCACAAGCAGAGTGTTAATTTTTGCTGAGGCGTCAACACTGCCCTCTCTCCGCAGAACTGCTGGTGTTGAGTGGCTCGGATCCAGTGGCCGAAGTCGCCATCCGGCAGCTCAGCGAATCCTCGAAGCTGAAGCTGAAGTCGCCTCGGAAGAAGAGCACCATCATCATCTCAGGGATCTCCAAGGTGCGCACGCGGCGGGCTGTCCGCAGCCCGCGGGCCCTCCCTTCCTACAGGCTGGCCCACGCTCTCGATCGAAGTCCAGAAGGTTCTGTTTACAAATGTCGGTTAGATCCCTCACCCTGCAAGGGAGTGGTTTGTGGTCTCTTATCCACCCTGTGTATCCTGTTTATGAAGGAAACATGGCCCTTTCTGACTGGGGTTGAGAGGTTGGTGAATCATTTGAAGAAAAGTTATTGAAAGAGAAAGACTGACATGATGTAAGACTCCCCGGGGGTGGAACCTCCACCCTTATCACCGATTGATTGATTATGGGGAACTTTCACTTTCCACATTACACATTTCCGAACCATTTTTACTTTTTGAGGTGAATGTTTATGCCTTTTGCAATCGGAGAAACGAAGCTTGTTTTTAAACATGTCCTGAGCCCCTTTCTTCTCCTACTCCGTGACGTTTGTCCAGAGCGGAGAGTGGGTGCGAGGCTGCCGCCGGTGGGCACCAGGCAGGCCAGGGTGCTGGAGAGCCCAGCCCCTCGGGGCAAGGGGCCACATGACAGGCCCTTATGCTTTTATAATATTTCAGAATGAACAAGGACAGTGTGAGCAATGAAGGGACGGTTGGGAGATTTGATGGTGGGAGGGGCCAAGGAGGAAGAACTGTAGACCCCTGAGGGCAAGTTGACTCTGAGGGCACTCAGAGAGCGGACAGGAAGGCACTGCACGCTGAAGTTGACCTCTAAGCTACCAGGAGAAAGGCCAGAATGGGTCGCAGGACGTGCCAGAGGTGAGTCACAATGTTGCCATTAAACTCTGGACGTGGGTGACCAGTGCCCAAGTCCCAACAGGCACAGCTGGCTGGTGGCCTTCCGCAGCGTCACCCCAGAGCCAGGTCGTGCCTCTCTGGGCTTCCTTCATGCACTTCCAGCAACAGCCAGCAGGTGGCGACGGCATCTTTGGAAGCTCCCTGACCCAAGGGTTGTCTTTTTTTTTCTTTTGTTTTGAAGTTCTGGTGCATGTGAACGAAATAAGGATGAGACTTGTGACCATCTCCTCTAAGGTTTTAGTTTCGAATTATTAGGAACTCATGGATCTTAACATTTAATGCGGTTATTTCTACTGATGCTCAAGTTGTCCGACCTCGATCAGCGTGCATTTCCGTACGCCAGCACTCGAGGGAGGAAAGTGCAGCTGTTCATTGTCAGTAAGCAGACGCTCCTGTGCAACTGCTCCCAGATCAGCCACAGACCAGCCCCCCGGAGCCCCCACCCCGGAGTCCCCCCTTAGTCACTTCCCACCCTCCAGCGAGCTGCTTGCCTGACTCCCAGCCCAGATTAGCTTAGCAGCTACATCGATTTTACACGTGTGTAATTCCTAGGGTACAAGGTATGAACTGATTAGTTTCTCCATCCAGGAAACAAAAATGCTGTAGAAACGACGATTCAAAGACGAACTGACTCTGGGGTCCTTGGTCACGTCCTCGTGACCTGTGTGCTCTCCAAGACTTAGAAGGACAAGCTCCCTCTTCTTCGGACCTTCCCACAGGCCTCCTGGCCGGCCATCTGCTGGGCAGGGGTGTCACCTCCTCCTGCCGCCACCCTTTCCAGATTGTGAAATCAGGCCATGCCCCTCTGCTCTGAGGGGACACTTGCATTGACTCAGTTTCAGCCCCTCTGACATGCAGCTGCCATGTTTTTTAAAATTTATTTTTATTTTATTTATTTAGGTTTTTTAAATTATTATTGTTCATAGTAAAAGTTACTTTCTTGAGATGGCACATTGGCAGGTTTAATGTTTGCTGACACTAGGAATATTTAAAAGAAGTTGTTTTTGAAAGTTTGATTATCCAGAAAGAAAGAAGAAAAATAAGTTTTTCTACAGTTGACAATAGTAATTTTTCACAAAAGGTTGAGGAAAAAAATCTAAACAAATCATTTTTGATAAAGAACGAGGCAGTTTCAAATTAAAAGTACAAATTCAAATGAAGCAATTTTATAAAATATCAAAGCTAGCTAAAATTACATGTATAAGTACTTAATAAGAGAGGAACAGCAGTGGAAAATTGATTTTATTTTTTAATTATCCCCCAAGGACAAGCTTAGAGAAAGGGGGGGAAGGAGAGGCATCGATGTGAGAGAGACATTATTCAGTTGCCTTCTGTATGCTCCCTGACTGGGAATCGAACCAGCAACCTTTCGGTGCAGAGGACTGCGCTCAGCCAGCTGAGCCACTCTGGCTGGGCGTAGCTGTCATGTTGAATGAGCTGCCTCCAGTGGGGCCGGGGCCTCTTCTGACCCTTTAAAATCAGCCAGGATGTTTGGAGGAGGCTTCCTTCCACGTGTCCTGGTAACCTCCCTCACACTGCCTTCCCTCCCTGGGCAGACCTCTCTATCTCAGGACAACGACGCTGCCCTGATGCTGGATTACGCAGCCTCCATGGACTGCACCCTGGAGGAGAACACCCTGGCCCAGGCGGGGGTGGCCGAATCCTCTGCCCCACCCAAGGAGGAGGCCCCAGCCCAGGTCCCGCTGGCCCTGGAGGCCCAGGATTGCGAGCTGGCCTCCTGGGACTTGGAGAAGGAGTCCCAGGCTGAGTCGTGGGACGGCCAAGCCCCGCTGGACCCCGACGGAGATGAGCTGTCCGAGAGCTCCCTGAGTGTCTGGGAGCCAGGTGCTCCCAAAAAGCATAAAGGTACTTGACCCCTGCACCCCTGACTCCCAGCTGATGGCCTGGCTGTCGTGCTGGTTTCCAAGCTTTTAGTCCTCCGCGTCTGCTTTCTCTCCCTTGTCTGCAGTCCATCCGCCCTCAGCATCCCCGCCCAGCACAACCCCTGCGCTGAAGGCCCGAGCCTGCCCGAGCAGGAAGGGACTCGGGGGGGGGGGGGGGCACCTCAGAGGCCTTCCGAATGAGCGGTGGGCTTCATCTCCGCATGTGGGGCACCATCCCAGCCAAAGTGGAACAATCCAGAACAAAGCCGGGCAGAGACTAGGTTCCCCTCAGCGTGGAGATGGGCACCTCTGCCCATTTGTGCCTTTCAGACGGTCCCCTCCAACTGAAACCAAACCACACCTCACCGCTTGAACCCAGACCACACCACGGGCGCAAGCTTCCCGGAGAGTTAGCCGGTAGCTTAGTATGTGTGGATGTGATCGTTTCGTTAGAACAGCCCTTTGTTTTTCTGTTAGCTCTACATCGGTGCTGTAATTTGTGCAGTTCTGCCCCGTGCCAGCTCTTTGAGTGAGTGACCTGAAGGGACCTGCCGAGGGAGTGGAGTCAGGGGCCGGGGGCAGTCCAGGTGCGACTGCAGGACTCACCGAGGCTCCATCAGCTCCCTCCTCCATAACGGGGTGCGCCCACCTGCCAGGCAGCAAGGGGACCCCGGCGAGGAGGACAGCACTGGGGCCTGAGCTGAGCGGGAGCGACAGGTGTGCCTAGTGTAGGTCCTAGCTCCCCAAGAGTGTAGGGGGCAGAAAGTCCCAGTCAGGAGCCTGGTCCGCTGTCCTACCTTGGCCTCTCTGCTCCTCTGACTTGGTGCCGTGGACCGTGCTTCTCAGACAGGGGATTGTGCCCCAGGGGACATTAGCTGTGTCTGGAGACAGTTTCCTTGTCACACGGAGAGTAGGGGTGCTGCTGGCTCAGGGGTGCTCTGGGTCAGGCATGCCACTCAGCACCCTTCAGTGCAGAGGATGCCCTTCAGCAGCATCCCATGGCCCCCCCTTTGTGGGTCCGAGGTTGAAAACCCGTGGTGGGGGGTCTGTGTTCGCTACTCCGTCCCATTTGCTTCATGTCTCTCCCCCGTGACCCACCCTCTGGCCGGAGCGGAGCAGGGACCCGCGTGGGAGGAGTGGAAAGTTAGGAGGAGAAAGAGAGAAGGGAGGATGATTCCTGGTGTGGTGTCCAGACCATGTGATGAAGATGGGCCTATTCTTGTTTCACCGCTGTGTGGCCTTGAGTAGGTCACCCTGCAGACCGGGGCCGGGGACCTGCGCACTGACCTCTGGTCCCAGAGCGGCCTGGTTGCCAGCCCACAGGGCAGCACACGCCCCTCTAGCCTGGTCTTTGGGGCGCGGGCCACCCCAGGGAGCTCACGCAGACCCGAGGCAGGCAGGTGGGTGCCGGGCAAGGTAGGAAGCAAGGAGGCGCAGGATGGGGTGCCCCTTCCCTCCCTTCATCTCCACTTCTCGCAGGACCCAAACCTCCCAGCCCACCTTCCTGGTCCATGCTGAAAGGCACCGCAGGTCCGTTCAGGGTCCACTGTTCATTCCCCCTCCTCCTCCTCTGCTTTTCCTTCCAGAGAACCCTTCCCTTGGGTTTCATCCTTGCTCTGCCGTGGCCACCCCGCTCCATTCCTGTCACCAGCCAGGTGGATGAAACCCTCCAAAAAGGCATTTTGGGGGACCGAGGTGCAGACAGGGGCTCTTGCTCCGAGCACCACCTGAGGGTTGGCACTGGGGCTGCTGCGAGCATGTGATCCCGGGCAGGGCCGACCTGAGGCTTCACCAGGGACAGAGCAGCGGTGTTTAAGCTGCTGCTTCCTCCCGGTGCCTGCTGAGCGGTTTGCACTTCGCCTGTGTATGAGACGGTGCCAGGACCCCCGACAGTCCGCGTTATGGGTGCCAAACAGTTTTTGTTTTCCACCAACATTTTTTGACCCCGTGATATGGGGAGTGGGACTGTGGCCTTTTCTCTCGTTTTTCAACGAAAGTGTATTGTTTGGGCCGAAGAGCCCGCGTATGTTCCGCCCGAGGATCTGTGCCGGGTTTGCGAGCCCGGCCGCCTTAGGTGGGCTCCCGGCGTTCTGCTGTATGCAGGTGCGCGGCCGGGGCGGGGAGCTTTCTCCCCAAAGCGAGGCTTATTTCCAGCTCCACAAAGTATTGGCGTGGTTGCCCAACAATGGGAATGTCCTCCGAGCGACCGAACTGTGCACTTGCAAGTGGCTGAGATGCTCACCAGGTCGTTGTGTGTTTTACCACAACAGAGGACAAACGTACTGATGTGAAGCGAAGCTGCCCGGTGTCCTGCGCAGTAACTCCGTGTGTGTGTGCGATGTCGGTGCTTCGACACTCACTGTCTTTCATTCTTACTTTGCTCTTGCTTACTTGTTACTCCTCTTCATCTCGTGCTCATTCCCTTTTCCTTAAGAGGATCGCTATGCCAACCAGAATCAATTGCCTGCACAGTAAGTTATTTTTGTCTTATACATACATATTTTTTAAATGTAGCCTTGCTGGGAGAAAAGCGTATGCTGTGACATAGCAGGAATCTGTCCCTGTCCCTGTCCGTTTTCCCCTCTGTCCCTTTCTAGTTTTACTTCCCGGGGTACTAGTTCTCCCATATCCCTCCCGAAAAGTGCCCCAGTCAGGTTCGCGGAGCGCCTCTGTCTCAGCCGGTCTGGGGCGGGCATGTCTGTTACCTGATGGCACAAAATAGCCTCACTGGGACGGACGGACGGACTGTCCCTACTTGTCCTCTGGGCTTGTGAAGCGGTCACTGTTATAACCAGCCCGCTGTGGTTCGGCCTGAAATCCGAGACTGCAGTTTAGAAGGTGATTTGGTCGCTCTCCTACCGATCAGGCTTTGAGACAAATTCTTCAATGAGCTGTTTATGTCCGTTAGACTTTGTGGGAACAAAGGAACACAGTTACTCAAGCTGTCATTTAGAGTAACGTTTAAAGTTCCTTCCTATCTTGTTTATGCTTCATTCTCTTTGTGATTTTTTTTTTTTTAACTTGGCTAGAAGCAGGGAAAGATCCCCCTCCTCCTTTCTGTCCCCCATGGAAGATTTTGGCTGCGTGCCTCACACTTCGCGTGGCCCGTGGCCCGGTTTCCCCTTCTTCTCGGCTGTGGGGGGTCCGGGCTGGCGTCCTGCCGGCTGGCGTGGAGGGGTAGCCTGGCAGGAGGGAGCGCGGCCCAGACGCCCGGCTCCCCTTCCTGCGGACGTTCCCGTCAGCAGAGGTGACAGGTCCTGGTGCCACCATTCCTCACTGTCGGTCAGGGTCCTCCAAGGGCCGGAACCAGTATTCCAGGGAACTGGCCCACGTGACTCGGGGTTGACGAGCCCCAAACTGAGGGCGCAGCCCCAGGCCGGGGCTGGCGAAGCAGTCGGGCAGAACCCCTTTCCAGGAACCTTGGCTCTCGCTGTCCGGGCGTGTAGTTGACTGGATGAAGCCAGTCCAGTGCCAGGGTGACCGTCAGTGTGGCCCCTGGCGTAGCTGGTGGCCACGCCCACTGAGGGCCTTCACGGCCACCCCGAGGTCAGGTCCGATGGGCTCACGGTGCCCAGGCCACGCCGGCCCAGGGAGCTGAGCGCACAGATCGCCAGTGGGGTTTGCCCAGGGAGCGTGTCGCCCGCCTGCCGCCAGCCTCCCCCACCGCGGAGGGGTCGAGTCCTCCTGCCACTGTTCACCCCGAAGGTAACTGTGATGTCGTGGCCAAGTTGAAACAGACTAACTTTTTTAAATTGAGAAACGGTGATGGAATCACCTCTGTTGATGCTCATTGTTCTTCCTGTTCAGGGAGTTAAGCTGTGGGCCCTGGAGAAAGGTTGGCCTCGTTACAATGTCCACCCCTCCCACGCCACCAGCGTGCCTCTCGAGAGCCTGACACCACTCCAGAAGGCCTACGGAGTCCATGCGGGGTGCAGGCTCTGCACGTGGCATCCTCTGAGGTCGCCGTCTCACCCCCACACCCCCACACTTTGAAAAGACATGGTGGGCATTTTGTTGAAGAATTTGTCTGATCTGTCTGTCAGGAGGAGAACGAATTAGCTCTCAAGCTCCCTCTGTGATCTGCAGGTCTACTCTCTTATTTCAGAGTCACTGACACCTACGTGCAAGTGGTCATGAATTTCACGGGCTCGCTGCACGGGCCCCTGACCTCGCTGGGGCTCGGTTAACTGGATGCCAAGCTAATCTGGGAAAGTGTAAGATTAGTGAGCTCTGTTGCCGCATTAGCTTGCATTTCATCTTGAAGGATTCCCTGCTGTTGAGATTACTGTGGCTGCTGCTAATTTTCTTGCGTTCCACATCCCGTGACCTGACGCTGCATACAGGTCGGTCGGACCGTACGCTGTTGAGATCTGGTAGCGCAAGCACAGTCAAGTAACAGATGTCTCCTCTGACAGCTCGATGTGGAGTCATAAAAAATGTTACTTCCCAAAGGAATAAATGTGTAACTTTCCCGAGAGAGCGAACACCATTGTCCTCAGGGTCCTTAGTGTGGCTTTAATAGCAAGGCCATCCTTTGGGGGGCAGTTAGTACTGCTTTGCCATTGACAATCTTCCTAATAAAGGAGGGTCGGGGGTGGGGGCTGAGGGGACCCCCAGGGCTAAGGCGAGGACAGCCTGCCGCCGTCTGGTTCGACTAGAGTCAACGATATAAATGGCCTGCCCCGGACACCAAGGGACAGTCCAGCCCACTGCTTCGCCTTTCACAATCTTCCTGTCATTTCGTCTTGTGTTTTGCACAAGCCAGATTCCAGTCGTTTTTCTCACGCGAACAGTGAAGGCACCCCGCGGTGATGAGCTGCTGCTTAGTAGAATAATCCACGTTTCCTCTTTTCTTTTTCAAGCTGGCCTAGTCGGTCCAGTGTTCCTGTCCCTCCCAGCCCCGCTGACCAGCCCCTGTGCTTTGCTCTTCCAGGAGGCCTTTTAAGGAAAGGCGCAAAGCTGTTCTTCCGCCGGCGCCATCAGCAGAAGGACCCCAGCCTGAGCCAGTCCCACAATGACCTGGTGTTCCTCCAGCAGCCAGAGGGGCCCCGGAGGAAGGGGGCCACGCTCAGCAGGATCCTCAACAAGAAGCTGCTGTCCAGGCACAGGAGCAAGATCTCCATGAATGGCGTCCCCGGGGACCCCAGTGTGTAGGCGGAAGAGGGCAGCCTCCTTCACGGTGATGCTGGAGATGGGGACCCGCCGCCGACCCGCCAGGCGGAGCGGGCGTACCCGCAAGCTGTCCGACGCCCGTGGTGGGCTTTCTCAACAGTGTCATCTTTTAAAGGGGAAGAAAAGTCTGGGTCTCCAGCAGCAGTTTCGCCAGAGAGAACTGATAAAACCTGTTTACCACCAGAAGTCGAAGGAGACCAGAGGGCCCCGCCACGCGGCTGTGTCCCACTCTTAAGAGCCGGAGTCCAAACTGAGAAGAAATTTACATTATGAACCAAGGAACATACCGCAGGGGGCGCGGATGGGGCAGGTTTGGGGCCTCAGTGTCACCCACTCTCTGCTCTAACGGGTATTATCTGGGTCAACGCCTGGACCACGTCACAAGGAGAAGACGACCCTGTGTGCGGTCCCTGTGAACGGAACGCATAGGTCACCTCTTCTGTGCGCCTGCTCAGGAGAGAACAGCGCAGATGGCCCCGAGTGCAGAGCGGTGGGACACGGGCTGATTTTGGTAGATGGAGAAATGACGTCAGGCACGGAAACACTATAACAAATGTAGGAAGACATTTGCCTTTGCTATTAGCCATAGAACTTGAAAAATTATGCAAATACTAAATATATCCTATGCATATGATGCTGAACACTTTTCTAAGTTTACTTTGAGCCTATTTGCAAGTGGGAGATATATAGGTTCTTACATGGTTTTTACATTTTCCTTGTAGTGTAAAAGGCGCTCTACCTACCAGTGGAGCCGTCGACGCACGGACTTTCCCCCTGTCCGGCTCTTTGGAAACACGTGCAGCAAGCCCCCCCGACGCACTCGGGAGCAATAGCGACAGCTCAGAGACCGTGGCACCCACACCCGCATACCTGGGTTTGCTTTAGTCCGAGGTCCGTTTGCCAAATATTGCCAATCGCTGGAACACAGTACTTTTAGGTCAAAAGAGGAAATTATTTTATGTCTCAGGTGTGAGTCTTAGGAATGGAAGTTTAATTCAAAAATAGGCCAGGCTTGCATCCAGTTGCTTTCAGGAGCCCGTCTGAATTCTACTGTGAACACTACTTGACACACTTGGGGGTGGGGGGGCGTGTTTTGATTTCCAGTGGAAAAAATGATTAGCTTGCTGTACCACTTGAATAGCCCACGTGTCTTTCAAAGCACTGCCACATCAGGACACCACGTGGGTCCATTCACAATCGCCGACGTTGGTCCGCTCCTAAATGTGCCATTTAGGGGTGTTGTTGTTAAACAGGCACTGTCATTAGGGTAAACGGTTCTGATGGCTTCATAAGATTCCTTGTCCTCCAACAAGATTTAAAAGGCTATTGTGAAAACTTGACTTTGGTCACAGATGTGAAATTGGGGGGCTCCTTTGGATGGGCGCTTTCGTTAACCCTTCAGCATCGACTGCAGGGGTAAGAGAGCCGTTGTTGAGCTAAAACCTTTATAAAAACCAATATTATAAAATTTATTTCTTTCTTTGGAGGGAGGAATTAGAAGACTACATTAAGCATTTTACTTCAAAGTGCACATTTAAAAATTCTTAGGTGTCCCAGGAATTATCAAGTGACTGTAAAATGACTTTTCCCACCATACTTTGTTTTTAAAGATTATAGTCCATTGTGAAGCATTGCACAGTAGCCCCTGGCATTACAAAATATATTAATAACCAAATCATAACCACTACAGGTCTTTTTGGGACAGATGGTCACTTTAATGTTTTGTTGTACTTGGAGGATTTCTGTTCTTCCTCGTGGTAGACATGCAGCATGCAAGGGTGAATTCCAAGAGGACATGCTGTGTCCGAATCTAAGACACAGGTCAGAAGTTTTCCATACAGCTCTATGCTTGCTTGCTTCTGAGATTCAGATGGACTCAATTTATTCCAGTGTGAAGGTGTCCGAGTTTTAGATTGAGTGTTTCTCACCCTCAAAACAACAACAACCCACAATTGTCGAGCCATTGCCATCTCCAGGTGGACCGCAGAAGCATCCTGTTCACTGGTCAACGTCTTCATCAAGGGCTGTGCTCTCTCAACTTCCTCGTGACTTGACACCTCTCCAGGATCCTGGGAAAGTGCCGGGTGGGCTTGGTCTCGCCCTCCTGCGCGAAGCGACTTGACAGGGACGAAGAGAGCGTCGTCATGGAGACCCAGCTTTTCTTGGTGTCAGTTGGGTACGCCTGAGACGCCCGTCCACTGGAGTACGATCCGGAAGCCCACCCTCCAGGCCCACGCACCCTGCCTCCGTGGTAACCTTTCCTGAAGTTACGGAGGATGCTGACGTGCAGGAACAGGACAAAATGACACCAGGGTAGCACCGAGAGACAAGGGGCTGTGTCGATACTGTGAACATTTTTTTTTTTTTTTCTCCAAGCTGTGTATCCAGGTTTGTTTTTTAATAGTGTAGGGTATTTATGGTAAAGTTGACATCATTCAAGTTAAATATCAATTACGATTATACACCGGATACAAAACACGCCGATTGGTAAATCACCGATTCCCCTTCCGCACGCTGGCCTGAGGGCTTTCGTTTTTGTTGTTTGGTCTTGATGGGATTTTTTCAGAGTGGTATTTTGAAAGTGATTCCTCATGAACACTAATCGTAACGTGTCTGTGTGTCTGGAACCAGGAGCCCACGCTGGTTCTAACGGGCCGGCACCGTCTGTGCGCTTTGCAGGGCGCCGGTGGACTTCGTGGGCCAGGAAGAGGGGCTTTAATGCAGCACCGACAAGGGGACCCGGCTCGTCGGGCTGTTCAAAACCAGCCGTGGGGAAGGTTTAGACAGAGTGCTTGATCCAATTCCAGCCTCCAGCCGATCTTCAAAACCAGCCCTTGCCTCCTGGGATGGCTACCAGGCCAGCTGCTGCCCACCAGTCACAAGTGAGAAGCCTGTCGAGATTTTCGACTGGTGGTTCTGGCCACGTCTATAGAAGAAAAGTTGTACATTTTCTTCTTGAGCGGAAGAGAAAGATTCATTTGCACTGCTGCCAACTGCGGATGTTTTCTGAGTAATAATCTCTCGGCCCTGGGAACCTCAGAGTACCAGCCGGTGGGCGCCGGGCGCCGGAACACTTACCTCTACCAGATGGAAAGCAGGCCTCGCGTCGGTGCGGACCCTGCCGCCCCCGCCCCGAACTGCCAGGGCATGACCACCAAAGCACGTGGCACAGACCACGCCCCGCTAACTCCTGCACACTCAGGTTCCCTCTGGTTCCTCTTTAGCATCCACCCCTCCTTTACCTGAGGAGGCATCAACCCGCCCAGTTCGCCCAACTTCCCACTGACTAGTCAAGTACCCTTTATAGTTTAGGCTTGGACTTTTTCTGCCCAATGTCACACTAAAGCTAGATTTTTTTTTTTTTTTTTTAAAGAAAATAAAAAGGTTTTCTAGGTATGTGGAAAGGTTTGGCTTGTGATGTAGTGCGCTGATGAATTTACATGACAATGATTGTATTTCTTGGTAGCACTTTAAAAACCGATTCCAGTCCTGCACCAGGTTCATCTGATGTGGCTGGAACATGAATGGTCTTTAAAGAAATAAATGTACACACGGAACCCTGAAAACTGAGTTGTTTTTGCCAAGTCCTGTGCTGGCTGGAGCTCCCCCATTTCTGAGGGGCTCAGAACCAGGGTCTTCGTCGGGTGCCTCAGCCGTGACCACACCCGACCAGCATGGTCGGCTGGTGGGAGAGGCTTCCTCCTTGCTCACTGCCTGGCAAAGGACCTACCTCCTAACATGCTCTTGCATGATTTGACTTAAAAATCTTAGCACCATTTTTGGTCTGGGGCTAAACCACTTACTAGGAAGTCAAATGTTTGCATGAGCTCTCGGGTCATGGTGAATTGTGGGAGCTACCAAAGTCTACTTGGCCTGGTCCCCCAGCAGCAAAACCTGGCACAAGGTGGCTGTGAGACAGACCCTTCACAATCCCCTGAGACCTGAGGGGCGCAGTCCCCTGGGGGTGGAGCTGTTATCCATCCATTGACCCTGCTGTCAACACTGCCCAGCCATGGCCCATGGGTGAGTGCAGAGCGTGGGGTCAGAGCAGCTGCCAGGCGGCCACGGAGGGACGGCGTGTGCACCTGCACGGGCCTCACACCAGTCGCTGGTGGGGTGGAGCAGCTGGGTCTGGAGTAATGCACAGGAAGCAGTGTGCCAACAACCCCGCTGGCCTCTCTCCATCCAGGTCGCCAGTTTCTGTTCCCCTCTCTCCCTGCTGCACCCAAGCACAGTTTTCAAAGAACAGGTGCACCGGGGGAATTACCAGACTCCCCAGCTCATGCCCAACCCTTCCTCTCAGCTGTCCTGACCTCACCTGTCCCAGACAGATCCACAGCCTTGCATTTCAGGGTCAGGGTGCACCCACAGAAAGCCCCAGCCATTAGGGGGCTCGGACTCTGGACTCAAGGTGAGAAGGTGGCGATAGCTGTTAAACTGAGGTGTTCCAGGAGTGGGGTGGAACTGCCGCTTCCTGTGTGGCCTGGGGTCCACTTCCTGCGCCGCTCCAGGAGGAGACGGTGGCCTTGCTGGACGCCCACACTTGTCCTCATCCAACAGCTTTCCTCGCCTGATCTACCTGTTGCCTCCAGGTAGACCCGAATTCTTGCCAGTCCTGTCTGCATGGCCCAAATTAGTCTACTTCCCTTGTGGTCATTCTGAGTGTGTACCCCTGGTCAACAGCATGCACCCCTCGCTTCCCTAATGTTCTAAGTACACCCAAGCCCTGCCTTCTGCACGAAGTGGCTCCAACCACCAAGGGCGACGCTGGGTGAGCTGGCACTTCTGTGAGCATCCGTCAGGCCCTCTCGGCCCTTGTCCCCTCCTAAGGTTGATCCCCAGTGCGAATGTAAGTGCCCACCTGACAGATGTCAGCCGATGGCACTATGTAAGCGCACACAGCTTATACCCATCCCACTCACAGGGCCAGGGTCGGGACAACCCGGCACGGGGGGCATGCACATGCTGTTTTTGACCCCAGTCATCTTTACAGGTAGGTGCTGTATGTCAATGCACCACGTATTTAAAAGAAAAGGCAGATCACTCACCACGGGGGCTGGATACCAAGTAGATGACCTAGTGTAGTGCCCTCCCTGAAGAGAAAGTGCCAGGGCAAACCCTCTTCCCAAGGTGACCTGCAAGCATCAACTTTGACACGTGTACCCAGCTCACCTCGGCTCCGCACTCTGTCCAAAATGCAAATGCCAGGTTGTGCCCTATAGGTGCCAGACATTTAAAACTATCGTGTTATCATTAATATTAATAAGTTAAAGTTAGATGCTTAGCTGCCTTAAATATAGGGTATATACTTGATATTTTATACAAAAGCTAGAGAAAGACTTGAGATCACAGCGATACTAGCTAATACTAATTGAGCACTTACTATGTGCCAAAAATTTTTTTTCAAGTGCTCTTTGAGATAACCCCATGAGTTATGATTTAGCCCAGCTTTACAGATTGGGAGGAGACACAGACAGGTTAAGTAGCATGCCTCGAGGTTCCACAGCAAAGTGGCAGAACCAGAATTTGAGCCCAAGCTGTCTGGCTGTATGTAGAGTCCATATTCAAAGCCACCGGTCTCTACTACCTTGTGTTGAATGGAGAGAACAGGATTTACGGCTGCATGTGGTCTTTTCTGAACTTTAGTGTCAGCTCCGTTACAGGAGAATAGTGTGATGTGAGAGACAATGCTTTGCATATAGCAGGCTTTCAGTGATCTGATGACTTCTCTTTATCTGGATGGGAAAATCAGCCAGATTGAAAACAAAAGCTAGGGGGTATAGAGAAGTGGTTTAGGATCCATATGTCCATAATACCCGATAGTAACGGAGTTTTATACTTTATACACACACACACACACACACACACACAATCTGTTTATTTTTAAGATAATAAATCCCCTGCTGGGGATGGAACCGCAACCCCGGCATGTGCCCTGCCCGGGAATTGAACCGGGATCTCTTAGTCCATGGGATGATACCCAATTCACTGAGCCACACCGGCCAGGCTGGAGTTTTATACTTAAATTAACGAAGACCAGAGTTGATGAGATGTGTCCGTTGGAAAGCACATGTCTAAGGCAGGCCAGTGTCCGGGCTGGGGGCATCACCCCCACCCTGAGGTCTCACAGTAACAGTAGTAGAGTGCTTGCATCTTTTTTTTTTTTTTTCAAATATTTTTTCTTTATTGATTTTTAGAGAGAGAGAGAGAAACACTGATGAGAAAGAACCTCCATTAGCTGCCTCCTGCACGCCCCCCACAGGATCGGGCCCACAACCTGGGCATGTGCCCTGACCAGGAATCGAACCAGCGACCTCTTGGTGCATGGGTCAATGCTCAACCACTGAGCCATACCAGCTGGGCTGAGTGCCTGCATCTTAATGCCAAGCTGGTCTCTGGGAAGAATAGTGTTTGTTATTAGGAAAACCTACTAATAATAATGGAAGCTCTTCTGTTTATACCTTTTAAAATTCCCCCAACTTATTTTTTAAAATTTCAAACCTACAGAATAACCTATAAACCTTTTACCTAGATTCACCAATTTTGTTTGAGATATGTTTTACCCTAAATTCTTCAGAATGTATTTTTCTAAGAACAGAGCATCCCCATAAAATACATTCAACACAATTTTCATGCTTAGAAAAATTTTCAGTGATGCAATACTATTATCCAGTACCAAGTCCATATTCAAATTTCTCCAGTAATATCCTTTATAAGTGGCTTTTCTCTTTTTCTGCTTGGGGTTCAAAGATTGTACATTCATAGCATCAGTTGTAATCAACAATTTGACACTTGAAGCAACAAAATTTTTTCACTTAAAATTTTGGACATAAATCTGTCTCAGACATCATTCCAGCCTTCATAGAAGGAATATACTGAACACAGAATTCTTTAGAAGAGGCAATGATGTGACTGAACCCCAGCCCTGTGCTCAATGCCTTGCTATGAGAAATGGCTTGATGTGGATTGATCTCATCTACTTTGTTTTTTGCTTTTGCTGTGACCTGTCAACTTTTCTGTAAGTGACCTGTGTCTATGTATGCTGGTACATATTTAGGATGCAGAGGCCCAGAGAACCATCCATCTGGGCATTTGGGAATTTCGAGTGATGTCACTAGAAGGATGGGTGTGTAAGTGTGTGTGTGTGTGTGTGTGTGGTGCACATTAACAGTAGAGGTCGGTTTGTACCTTTAGAGATTGGGGAGCATTTGGGCAAAGACCTGAAAATGAAGAGATGGTAGTGGCAAGCCTGGGAAAGGGTCCCAAGATGGAGGGAATGGGTCCCCAAAACCCCATGAACCTGTTTGAGGAGCAGAAAGCAGGCTCGACCAGTATGAGCAGGGCAGAGGTGCGAGGCACAGGTGAGGTGATCAAGAAAGGTCTGGAAGGCTGTGGTCCAGACCTACTGTAAACGCCATTGGGAAGTCACTGCAGGGTGTCAGGGAGGACAGAGAGATGAGCCCCGAGCAGCATGACACTCCACACCTTCCCCTCCAGCAGTCAGCCTTCCGCCTGTGGATTCCCTTCTGATGGGGGCTGAGGACTAACCTGATACCTGTACCAACTCATACGAGTGTACCCGGCTGTTGGATAAATCCCCTCTATCTCAATTTATTCTCCCACCAGGAAAGGATGAGACAGCTGGTTCTCTAAAGTCTCTTCAAAATAACGCTGATACTTTTAAAATCTTTGCTAATATAATAAAAATGATCTCACTGCAATTCACTTTTTCTCTTATTACAGCAGTTTCCCTTAACCTTAAAAGCCATTGTATTTTCTTCGTTGTGAACCGCCCACTGACTTTTTTTCCCCCTATTGGGTCGTATTTTTAATTGATTCATAAGAGCTTTACATGTATGAGGGAAATGAGTCCTCACCCATATCAATTTCAAATAATGTCCCCCCAGTTAATCACCTCTCTTTGGCATTATTAATGGGGGTTTTGGCCAGGCAGAAAGGAACAAGGCAGCTTACTTCTCTGAGTCTGAAAGGCTGGGACTAGAGTAAAAGGCTCTCTAGTCCCTTCTATTTCTAATATTTTGTTTCCACACTACATTTGATGGAGGGGGACAAGAGGCCACGCAAGCCCCCAAGCTTGGCAGGAGAAAAGGGGGCAGAAACACTCGGCGCCACGGAGTGGTCTGGCCTCATCTGGCTCCGACCGGGGCCAAGGTGCGACTCTGGGGCTGCCCGCTCAGCAGCCCACTCCACCGGGATTCACGTGCCCGGCTCTGCCACTCGCCAGCCAGCGGCCGAGAATCGCCTTCCCGAGCTGGCTGGGGGCGGGACACGCACTGACCTTTACCGATGGGCTAGAAAGACGGCCAAGAGTCGCAGCAGCCTGTCAGCTAAAATTCACAAGTTATTATTGGGCAGCAAACCTCAGGCCCGATTTAAAAAAACATTCGACCCCTTCTTCAACCCAACCCCCCAAAAGAAATCAAGGCTCGACGTCGCCACTGGAAGGGTGAAGAGGGCTGTGCGAGTCCTCCGTGCGCACCTCTGCTGGGGTTGCGGGGTCGGGCCAGGCCACGCGGGGAGGGATGGCGCGTGGCCGCCGGACACCTCCTCCTGCTCCGGGGGGAGGGCGGTCGGAACCCGGCCCTGTTCTCCGGCCGCTCCAGCTCCACGCAGCCCGCTCACCCCGTGCCCCCTTCTCCCCAGTCCACGCCCTTCGCTCCCGGTCCACACTGCCCGCCGCTCCGTCCACGCCGCCGCGTGCAGGGAGCCGCTCCGGGGCCGCACCGCCCGCGCCGCCTCCCCGCCGTGAACTACAACTCCCACAATGCCCCGCCGCCGCCCCCCGGCTTCCGGTGCTGCGCAGTTTCCGGAGCGGATCGCAACCCGGAGTCCGGATCCGATCCCGCTCTGCACATTCCAAAGGCAGGTAAAGCCCGGGGCCCTGCGCCCGCCGGCCGCCCCCGCGCGCGCCGCCCCCGCCCGGCCCGCGCCCGCTTCCTCCGCGCGCCCGCCCGCCCGCCGCCCCAGCCCCGCCCGGCCCGCCGTCGCCGCCGCCCCGGTCCAGCCGCCATGCCGACTGTTCTTTGTTACATTCGCCGGCTGCGGGCACCGTGGGCGATCGGAGTCAAAACCCGGCTGGATTTCCCGGAGCCGCTCCGGGATCGCCCTGAGTGCCGCCCGCCGCCCGCCCGGCAGCTGGGGCGCTCCGGGCCGGGCGCCCGCCGCCCGCGGGTCAGGCCCACCGTCCCCGGCCCTCGCGGGCCATGGGGCCGCGCTCGCTCGTGGGCGCGGCGCGGGGGGCTCCTCCGCCCCCGGCCCGCGGTCCCCGCCCCCGGTGCCGTGGTCGCCGACGGCCCCCTCGTGATGTCACTCTCACCACACCGGGGCACAGCCCCCGGGGCGCACGGGAGGGTCCCGGGACCTCCGCCCCGCGGTTGGAGAAGCAGGAGTGCGGATGAGGGGGCTGCCCTAGCTCCCCAAGAGCACCCTGCATCCTGTTTCTGTAACCCCGTGGGTGGCAGCGGGAAGGTAGTCAAATCGTGGACAGGTGACATGTGCCTGCCTTTGGGTGGGTGGCCGGGCCGGGAAAGGGCACGCCCGGCGCAGCCATGTGGAGGAGCTGGCCATCTGGTCTCTGGGGAGAGGGACATACTCTCGGTGAGGGTCAGCTCTAGAAGTGGGAATTCATTATGGAAATATAGCCCTGCCTGACAGTTATTACGTGTTTACCTTTATTAAGCTCTTAATGGAGGGGATGAGGTTTTTTTTTCCCACGAATGCTCAGAAATTGCCTATTTCCTCCACCCCACCCGCAAGGGCAGATTGAAATGGTAGAAACAAGTGTGTGACCAGACAGGTGGACCCCTGGTGTGTATGTAAAAATGCCAGACAAAAGTCACATTGGTTTACAAGCCGCTCCTAAAATCCCGACTTACCTGGTAAATTTGGAGAACCCAGCTTGGTCCCTGAAGGTGGTTTTAAGGATGAAAAGTAAAGGAGCAACTGGTTTTGTGATCAGTCTTAAAAGGCAGGGATGAGAACTCTCCCTAGAGAGTGCACCAGTGTAGACATTTGGTTTTTATAAGTGAGGTTACCCCCCTCCAATCCCATTCACAAGCGCTGCACCATATTTTGTCTTAAAACCTGGAGAATATTTTCACTGCTCCAGTTGGCTTCCTGCATTTCCTTGACATCACTGCCTTATGGTGAGTGGTTAAGAAAGAGAACTATAGTTTGGATTTTGAAAGGGAAAAGCAGTAAAATTTATGTTACCCTCTGATAGATTTGATTCATACTTCTGCAGAAACGTTGCCAACAAGGAATACAATGATATGTTTGATTTTGGAAGCAGAAAGGGATAGTTATTTTTTCCAGAAGACAAATAAATTTTCAAGTTTAACCCCAATGGGGGTTAATAGCTTTTTTAGAATATTTATATTTGAGAGATATGTCCATTTCCTTAGGAATACGTCTCATGTGTCATTCTTTTGATATCCTCTGTGTAGAAGGCCAGGAAAAGAACACTCTGCCATTTGGCAGATTTAAGGCCACTCTTTCAGATACGTGATTTAAGATTGTAAGCAGTGACTTAAATCCTTTCCCAGCTTCCTTTCCACATTTGTAAAGTGTGGGTGATCCCTGTCCACTTCACCTCATGGTTCAGGAGTGTGTGTGTTCATTCATTTGGCCTTTCACTCAACAAGTGTTTATTCAGTGGGCACCTGATATGTGCCTGGCACTACAGAGAACAAGAGAGAGGTTCTGCCTGTTGGACCTAATGGGCCGGAGGGAGGGAGGTATAGCCAATGAACGATAAGACCGTGTCAGGTGCACAGAGGTTGGAGCATAGAAAAGAAGGAAGGAAGGAAGGAAGCCAGCAGGTAGAGGCTGTGGTATAGGTGGGGTGGGTACACTCAGGCAGTTGGGACTAGGAAGGACAGTCTGAGCAGGAGACCAGTGCTGTGAGGTGCTCAGTGGAATTCTGGGGTGAGAGTGTCACTGGCACACGAATGGCAAGTGTAACAACCCTGGGGTGGGAATGAGCTTTGTGTGCACAAGGGTGACAAAGGCCAGTGTGGGCGGGGGGAGAAAGCACAGGAGGGCAGCACAGCTGTCCACCAGTTTATCCTGAGTCCCAAGTGGACACCACTGGTGGTTTGGGGCAGGGGGGTGACAGAATATGTGCCTTTTTAGAGACGACCTCGTGGCTGACATGTGGGGAATTCAGGCCCTACAGGGGTCCACTAGAAGTGGGGGATAGAGGCGGGGAATGAGTGAGGACAATGTTTATTTCTAGAGCGAGGCAGGTCTTGCTGTTGGTTTGGTTGGGGAATGTATGGTGAGTGACAGGAGGTACCATTTACTGAGGTGCAGATGACAGGTGTGCTGGGGCCGGAGGTGATTAGGGGGAACCAGGGCCCTGCAGACGAGTGGCATCTTCAAACCACCCTGGGGTGGGATAAACCCTTTCCCAGGGCCCAAGGTCCAGGTCTCTCACCTTCTTGAGGAAGGGTCCCTCTTACTGTCTGGGAGACGGTGACCCACCCCCAATCTTGGTGTGAGCTGTGACCCCAGGGTGTGGAAACCTCAGGGTGCCCACAGATGTGTGGGTGTCTGGGGAGTGAGCTCACTGTGGGCTAAGACCTCAGACTTCTGGCAGATGGAGGGTGCCCTCGTGCTGATAGGGGAAGTGGGGACCCCTTGGCATTGTGGTCATTGGTAAGTGACGGTGGGCACTGCCATAAGCAAGCTCTTCCATTCCCACCTACTTGTCTATGGAGCAAGGTTTCCTGCGTTCACATTTATAAAAACAAAGACTGGGGCAGAGCTGAATGTTTGCTCATGATCTATGAACCGATTGTGGGGAAAAGCCCAACGGCCTCATTGAACACATCCCCCATGTTAATGACTGTTTACCGAAGCATGTGCTGTGTTTCTGTTTTGATCAATGGGGTTTCAATGATTGCAGTAATAACTCGATCCAGGAGAAACTAGCACACCCTTATGGCCATAGAAAATCAAGACCAACTTGATTTGTGTGCAGTATTTGTAGTGTGATCAATAGAGTCGTCTTGAGCGTGAATATATAACATTGGGTTTTAAAAACTAAGAGGTTCCGAAAGAGAAAACAGAAGAAAAATACAAAAGAATTAATACAAGAAAAACTTCAGGCTGAAAGACATGAATGCCAGGGTGAAGGGGCCAACCAGTGTTCAGCATTAAAGCAGGCCACGAAACTTGAGGTCACTGCAGCTAAAATAAAAATCCTAAAAAATTTGGGGGTCACGAACCAGAGGTTGCTGCCTGGAAAGACATCAGACTTCTCAGCTATGACACTGGAAGCTGAAGGACACTGGAGTCCTGCTTTTAGTGTTTGGTGTGAAAGTGACCATGTGCCCCGGCAAACCAGCCGTCATGTGGGATTAGAATAAAGACATTTGCAGACCTGGCGAGTCCTTTCAAAAGGTGTATCTTGGTGGCACCATTCTAAGAAAACTACAGGAAAATGTGCTCCCCAGATCAGAGGACTAAACAAGACAGTGGAAGCAAGAGGCCTCAGGAAGCAGGGGCTCCATTTATACCCAGAGAACAAACAAATCTGGGTGATAGTGAAGGGAAGGCCCAGCCTGTGGCCTGTGTCAGACCCGACGGGCAGCCAGGACAGGAAGAGTAGGTTCCAGGAACTCCAGGGCTAGCCCTGGCTAGACCCTGTGAAAATCAAACCATTGGAGAAGCTATTGCAGGATGTGCAAAGATGTAGCCACTGGTGCCTTACTCACCACACTGTCATCACCACCCCCAGATTCTACAAGACCTGTACGAAACAGCACACAATAAAACCCCCACATCAGCAGCAGAAACAGCACACAACAGTGTCTGCCAACAAGACCTGCACAAAATAACAGCACACAGACAACACAAGAACTGCACAAAGCCATATAATAAAAGCCACACACACACACAAAATGTACACATAACACAAGAAGACCTATACAAAAACAAAATCTTCACACAAACAGCAGAAACAACACACAACAAAACACATACAAAATGATATAAAAATCACACAACACAGCCACACAAATAACATGACCTACATAAAACACAATGAAATCTAACATATACATAAAACCTCAAAATCTACACACAAACAGCAACGCAAATCTACACACAACACCACAAAATCTGACATACACATAAAACAATATGAAGTCTACGCACAGCAGCAGCAAATAAACTTCACATACAAACAACAAGAACTAAGCAAATGTGAAAATAAATCAGTTGCCCCTAGAAGGTTGTACGAGAAACGTATTAGTAATGAACTTCAGGGTTCACTACAGAGCAGTTTTTCCAGCCCTCAGTGTTTTCAGAGTTATATACACTGATTTAACCAGAATTATATTGGGGATAAGGGGAGGGGAGAGCGGGTGAGAAAGCAGACTCTTCACCTACCATGAGAACTAAAAATGCAACACCCAGAGCTGAAGGGATGGGGGCCTCAGTGGGACCCTGTTACTTCGCAGCGCCCAAGCGGATGTAGTGGAAAAGCCCAAGGACCTGAGAGTGGTCGACCTGGGAATGGGATTGGATCGGAAGGAGGGCGGTGGACAGGGTACTTCTTGGCCTCCTAAGGGTACACATGTGCTTCACAGCCACACACGCTAGAATCACAAGGTCTCAGATGGAAGGAAGCCGTGGAAGTAAAAGACCCCGTAACTCTGTCTTGACTTGGCCAGGGGGCTGGTTTGTAGGTCATGTAGGTACATGTCACTCAGGTGTCCCTCCTGCCCGCAGTTCCCACCTGGAAACAGCAGCTGTTGGGGAGCTGACAGCTTCCCGAAGTTAGGCCGCCGCTGGCGCGTTGTCCGTGGTAGCGGCCGAGACCTACGTTCTGTTTCCCTCCTGATGATACGCGCAGAGGGG